GGCTGAAATAATAAATGGACAAGTTCGAGGACCTAGAGTAAGAAGAAACTGGGTTCGTCGTAATGAAGCTTGTGTGAAGCTTAAATACAAACAAGTGCAGAGTGGGTTTTAAAAAGAAAAACAATGTATGTATCAAAATTGTGTTCCCTATTTATAAGTGGATTTTTTTAATACGTTCAATAAACTTTTACACACCAGGTGAAGCGCTGAGACAGTTAGTGGTAAGTCCTTTTCATTTAATTGTTTGCATTTTACGAGTACATTATCAAATAATGAAATAATACTAAACAGCCAAGAATAACAAACTCCATCTTTATTTACACTGCGTTCCGTCGTAATTTGCGTCTGGCGTTGCGGCGTTGTCAGATTTTATTTTACTTTAAAGTCGCTTTTCTCTAAAAAACTGCCGTTTTGACGCCCATATGTGTAGTTCGAAATTTTATAGTTCAGAAGATATTTGCAATTTTGTGAAATTTCGTAAACCAAAAACGGGATAATGAACTGTCAATCGTAATTACAGCTAGACCATTAGGTGATTTTTTTTAGATGAGCTAAATGACCTAGCAATGGTCATGTCCCTTTTTAACAGAGCTAATTAGAAATCAATGCAAAAAATTTTAAATTCTTTTTTTGTGAAAAATCTCTTCGATCCCTCAACTTTGGAAGGCGGTAAAAAAACTGAGGTAATATGTCATTATTAATTTTATTGTAAAAACTATTTCAATCCATGTAGAATAAACAATGAAAATTTCAGCTTCATTAGCCCGTTTTTTTTTCGAAATTTCACAAAATTGTAAATATGTATAACTATAAAATTTCGGACCACTTCATAAGGGGTTCATTCGATAGGTTTTGAAGCCCTCTATCACCTGACTTCCGTTGATCCACTACTAACTTCACACCCTGTATACACAATGTTCCTCAGTGGATGAATTTTTAGGTCCTTATAAATAGGGGGCTTTATGAATGTTGTAGACTCGATTTCCGTACAAACTACGCCACTGGTCGCCGATGAAGTAGTCACATTCTAAAGTCGCACGAGAGGGGGTTGACGAAACAACGGCAGACCCAAATCCAGGCGCACGTTACTAAGGAATGAATCTGGCTTCGTCGGATTTTATTGCTTCCGCTAGAACTGTTTGCGATTGGATGTGAACGAGTCTATATATAAATGTATACAGGATGGTTATTCTTAGTCCTCGCCTGCTGTGCTCTGGTTTGTATTTGTATTCATCGACATTTGGATAATGCCTAAGCTGAACCGTATATTTCTGCGTATTAGCTTTATGCACATATAAAACGTCTCGTTTGCTTTAAATATGTACATATTTATTTTATATCCCTATTCCGCGATACATCGGTGACCCCTCACTTCGTGAAAGATATATTACTATGCGCATTCACTACAAAAGCTGCTATAAATGGTAGCCGCTCATTTGTGTGATTTTGTACTGGCAATTAGTTATAAAAGCCGTCAGTCAACAGTTCCATCTTCATTGTATGCAGTGGTCAGTAATTTGCAGCAATCTACAATATATCCAACAAAAGCACGGTTCAGTATGATGCGGCAGACATTGAGATAGACCTAGATCTAGAGAGCCGCTATTAGAATCTCTTTTGGCTATACAAAGCGGCTTCAGGGGGCGGGCCACGCTTGACACATTTGTATCTTATTGACATGTCCGGCTTAAGTGTCGCATTGTTGTTTGAAGCTGGACAATCGTTAAAAAAACCTTAAAGACACTAGAAGTCGGCACGGGCATTACGTATCTTGAAAAGTGACATTATGTCGATTTTTGTTTGACATTGTATAGGTTGTTTATGACATTACACAAGATGTTAACCTAGCACTAACTGTTGCACACGTTGTGAACTCTTTTTGTAGTTGTACGTGTAGCCTAAACGTCATGAGGTTTCAGTTATCAATGTTTGGCTCTGTTGTGATGTAAAATCTTCTTCAGAGATGGCATTACTGCAGTCTAAGCTGTAAGTTGTATACTATAGCTAAAAGGAAACGGCAATGCATAGGAGCATAGTGAGGATTTGTGTGTTAATATGTGTTGATGTTAATTCCATTGGATTCTTGCCTCAAATACACTTACTTGAGATTGAAAGCTAGAAATTAGTTGCGCATCCACTTTTTCTTATCCGTTCTGGAAATTACATATGCAAATAATGCAATTCAAAAATGAGACAGATAAGAAATAGTTATATTCACTGTACTGTACGAATTACAAGTCACATAGTGCTAACAGTAATTACACACAACGCGAGCGCAACGGTGATTTCCCGTTATTCTCCTCAAAGTTTTTGAAAACACGGGCACAGCTAATAGATATACCCCAAATATCACTGATTTTATACACATGCAGACCTATACACGTAATCATCCAGATGCGATCTTGATACTCAACCAACTTTCTTCGCCAAGATGAAAAATACAGACTACTCGGCTTCACAAAACGTACGCAACCAACAATGTGTGTAGTTGAGTCGTTCCTTCATTGATGGACGCTCACAACGATTCTAGTGAGCAAACGTGGAATGACTGTTATTACATTTTCTACCTTTCACATCACATACTCAAGACATCTACACGATTATTCAAATATTTCTTTCAAAATAAACAATACAAATTTAAAAATTGACAGAGTGGACAATATCAAATATACTAGGTGACATATAAATCCGAACACCCAGTTTAAATGGTTTTATTTTAATAAAAGTTGGTGAATGTATTTATCTTACTGTAAATAACAAGTTAAAAAATTTTCAGCCTTATCAGTTGGACTTTCCGGTTTTTATACTGCTTTTTTTTAATTCACTAACGCTCTAAAAATGAATATTTCAGCCGCAGTAAAGAATCAACGTTGGCGGATTTTGGTTCTTGACATCCTTTACGATCGGTTACGATACCTAGAGTACGGAGACCTGTACGATTTCGTCAACTTAGTGAGTTTGATAGGGGCCGTATAGTGGGACTTCGGGAAGCTGGACTTTCTTTTCGGGCAATTGCAGTTAGAGTGCAAAGAAGTGTAGACACTGTGGTTAAGTGTTGTCAGGCATGGCTTCGAAAAGGCCGTACGCAAAGAGCAAGCGGCACTGGACGCCGCCGTAGAACAACAGACCGTGAAGATCGCCGCCTAAGATTATTGGCCTTAAGGGACCGTTTCTCCACTACCAGGTCCATTGCAAATGAATGGTTTGCGGAACACGGAAAGCCTATTGGCATGCGAAGTGTTTACCGACGAATGAGAAGTTTTGGCTTGTTTTCATACCGGCCACACTGGGTCCTCCTTTAACTCGAGAACATCGACGTAATCGCCTTGAGTGGTGCAGACAACGGTCACTCTGGGATCAGGAATGGAACAGTATTGTCTTTAGTGACGAGTCTCGATTTTGTTTAGGCATGCACGATGGTCGTGCCAGGGTTAGAAGGCGACGTGATGAAAGGAGGAATCCACAGTTTTTTGTTGAAAGAGATGTTCATCACACTGTTGGAGTTATGGTTTGGGGTGCTATAGCTTATGGTTCTAGGTCACCTTTAATCTTCATCAGAGGTAACATGAACGTGCAGCGTTATATCCATGAAGTTCTAGAACCCCATCTTTTACCCTATCTTGACACCCTGGCAGATCCAACTTTCCAACAAGATAATGCCCGACCACATGTTGCAAGAGTCACAATAGACTTCTTTCAACATAATGATGTCACATTGTTACCATGGCCACCAAGATCTCCCGACTTATCCCCAATTGAGCACGTGTGGGATATGATGGGTAGGAGATTGCTCAATTTGCAACGTCCTCCTCAGACTCTAGAAGCACTTCGAGAGGAGTTGGTGGTTGCCTGGAATGAGATACCACAGGAGGACATTGACCACCTGTTCAGAAGCATGCCTAGGCGCGTTGGAGAATGCGTAGCACATCAGGGTGCATCCACACATTATTAAAGGTCAAAGGGCTTTAAAGCAGTGCAATCACTTTGAAATTTTTATAATTTACTTATTATGCTTCATTAAGTACTTATACAAAATTTTATTAAAATAAAACCATTTGGGGACAAGGGCCTGTGAGTAGCCTCCGCGAGGCAAAAGCTGCCCAGGCAGGTGTATAGCGTAATACAGACTTATAGTCCATCAGCTTCTGCACCTGCAAGACCGTCCGTGCGTGGTGAAGAACCACATGCTGCTAGAGCTGTCCCTGCTCTTAACAGAACACGGCGGATCTAGAGGAGTAAACCTCAAAAAAAAAATCCGCAATCCCAAGGTGTTTGCCGTGCTGAGGGGATGAATGGCACTGCGTTAGTGTGTTCCAAATGGCTGCCTCCGGATACCGGGCGACCTCCGGTTGAAACTAGCCTTGCTATGATAAGCCTGCTCTTTCATAGTCGACCTCCATATCAGAGCCTACTCGTGGGAATAAGATGAAGCCTACTCAAAACCAAAACATCCAGGAGGCGCCCGCCCTCCAAAAAACGGGTAGTGCTGGGGGAGCACTTTCCAGTCCTTCAGCAGGCGTGAGGACGGTGGGCGATTGCCCCCGGTTTCTGCTTGTTAAAAGAGAAAGCGATAATTTTGATAAAGTGAGCCCTTTTGTTATATCAAAGACATTATATGGAATTGTTGGTGAAGTAAAGTTAGTGAGAAAGGTTCGAGAAGGTCTCCTTGTTGAAACTAAATCTACACAGCAGACTATGCGACTATTCCAGGTAAAAAAGTTTGGAGAATTTGATGTGAGTATCGAGGCACACCAGTCCCTCAATACCCGAAAAGGCGTGATTTTTTGCAGAGACTTGCTCAACTGCTCGATTGAGGAGATATTGGATGAACTGAAAGGTGATGGTGTCATACATGTAAGAAGGCTAAAGAGTAAAAGAAATGGAGAACTGGTTGAAACTCCAAATCACGTGCTGACATTTAGGAAAACTGTCTTACCAAAGTAAATCAGCGTTGCGTTCCATAAATTAAATGTAAGGCCTTATATTCCACCACCTACCAGGTGTTTCAACTGTCAAGCTTTAGGTCACACAGCTGGAAACTGTCAGAAGGAAAAAATATGTCCGTGTGGTAATCCTCCACATGAAGGTCCTTGCCCGGAGCCCAAAAAATGCGTAAATTGCGAAGGTCCACATTCAGCAGCTTATATGAATTGCCCAAAACTAAAAGCTGAAGCAGCAATACAGAAAGTAAAGGTAATGGAAAACATAACATATGCAGAAGCAAAAAGAAAAGTAAATATAACCACTCCAAAACCTACTACGTCCTATTCTGCTGCCGTCCAAAAGTCATCAGAAATGAACATTCAGCAGATCATATCGAGAATAATTCCTCATATCGAAACTGCAGTTAGAAACGCAATCTCATGTTCTACATCTAAGTGCGACCATTTTAAAGCCCCATCATCAGGGCTAATCTTCCGTAGAGATAGATCTGATTCTGTCTCTACAAATTTATCGGCAGCGTCCGAAAAAAGAAAAAACCAGGGGACTCCACTACAGATGATGATTCATCTGCTATGGACCCCAACTCAAATCCAACAAAAAAACGGGGCAGGCCTAAAAGGACTGCCCCGTGAGTGATGCTATATCACTTATATCAACTCTATTTAAAAAAAAAAACTATTTATTTTATTTATTATGTACCGTCCATCCTACATACTATTTATTTTATTTATTTGTTGTGAAAGTATTTTATTTACATACATTTAAACTCTTAAAATTGCAATGGAATCAATCATACAGTGGAACTGCAATGGAATTGTCCAACGGTACTGTGAGCTTAGGCTGCTTTTACAAAATCATGATCCAATGTGCTTATGTATTCAAGAGAGCCATCTCAGACCAAATCAAACTTACTCTCTTAGAAAATATAACATCTTGAGAAAAGATGCTGCAGCTGTCGAGCGAGCACATGGAGGAGTTGCGATAATTTTACGTGAGGATGTCTGTTTTGAGCCTTTATGTGTAAACTCAGCACTACAAGTTGTTGCAGCTCGAATAACAGTTCCTGTAAAGGTAACTGTCTGTAATATATACCTACCTGATGGAAATTGGCGAATTGGTGACATCGAAAACGTTATATCTCAGCTCCCAGCACCATTCTTGCTCATTGGAGATTTCAATGCGCATAATCTCCTGTGGGGATCAGGACGTTTAGATCACCGAGGAGAATTGATAGGAAACTTACTAGACAGAGAAGATCTGATGTTGCTAAATACAGGAATGTCCACCCATCTGGCTGCTCGTTCCGGATCTTTCTCTGCGATTGATCTAGCGATCAGTTCAACATCCATAGCCGATCGCCTCCAATGGAGAGCTCTAGATGACATGTATCATAGTGATCATTTTCCTTGTATCACGTCCTTTGACATATCTAGAAGTAGTCCCCAAGTACCTCAATACTGGTTGATGTCAAAGGCAAACTGGCAGCAATTCGAAGACTACTTATCAATTGTGAGTCCTGTACAAGATAATAACATTGGTATTCATAGTTTTACTCAGCTGATACATCAGGCTGCGGTGAACAGCATTCCGCTTGGTGGTGGATCTCCAAGAGGCCGTCGGTTACCATGGTGGAACTCTGACATATCCGATGCCGTGAGATCAAAAAAGCGTGCACTCAATATTTTTAAGAGGAACTGCACGGTATCAAACATGATATCTTTTAAGAAAGCTAGAGCTAAAGCGCGACGTCTTATTCTAGAAAGCCAGAGAAAATCATGGAGAGAATATGTCTCCACTATTACTACTGAAACGACAGCAAGTGAAGTATGGAATAAAGTCAGAGCCGTGTATGGTAGACAATCAGTTAGGCAAATCAAACATCTACGGACCTGTAACAGCAACATCATTAACAGCACAAATGAGGTCTGTAATTTACTAGCAGATAAATTTGCTACCGTCAGCAGCTCGGAAAACTATAGTCGCGAGTTCAGGTCCACCAAAAATGCAAGGGAATTACCATTAGACTTTTCAACAGACGTATCTTTAGCGTATAATGAGCCATTCCAACTGTTTGAGCTAGAAGAAGCCTTAAAAAAGACAAATCGATCAGCTCCTGGTCCGGATATGGTAAATTATGAGATGATCCGTCATCTCCCTCTCCATCTCAAGCTTACTCTCCTCAACATATACAACAAGATATGGCTTGCAGGAATATACCCAAAAGACTGGAAACTTGCAATCGTCATTCCCATTCTTAAACACGGAAAGGATCCACTCTTGCCTGAAAGTTATAGGCCCATAAGTCTTACTTGCTGTCTTGGAAAAATATTAGAGAGAATGGTAAATGAGCGCCTGTCGTGGTTTCTTGAAAAAAATGGCTTACTTGTTGATTACCAGGCAGGATTTAGAAAAAATATGTCTACAGTGGATCAACTTGTCTATGTAGAGAATGTCATCCAAAATGGGTTTAAAAACCGTCACCACACAGTAGCTGTGTGTTTTGACATAGAAAAAGCTTTTGATATGGTCTGGAGATATGATGTTCTATACCAACTGCACAACTGGGGCTTTAGAGGAAATCTCCCAAAATTTTTGAAATCCTTCCTTACAGACAGGCGTTTTCAAGTACGTGTAGGAAACACTCTTTCAACAGTCCACACCTTGGAAAATGGAATACCACAGGGATCGACATTTAGCTGTACGCTTTTTGCGATTGCTATTAATAAACTTGCCGAGTCCATAAATCCGGTGGTGGACAGATGTCTATACGTTGATGATTTGTGTATACTATCATCAGGCCCTTCCATTGAAGAGATTTCCGGTAACTTGCAGACAGCAATAAACAAAATAAGCCAAAATGCCATAAACAGTGGTTTCACATTGTCAAATACCAAAACAAAGTGCGTACATTTCTGCAGACTCCAACGTCAGCATGATGGGCCACTACTTTATCTACAAGGCCAATTAATCCCCAACGAAACATCTATGAGATTTTTGGGATTGATATTTGACTCAAAGTTAACGTGGAAATGTCATATTGCAGAATTAATCTATAGGTGTAAGTCAACGTTGAATGTTATTAAGTGTCTGAGTTCTACCCGGTGGGGAGCTGATACAGAGGTTCTGATAAAAATATACAAGTCCTTGGTTCTATCAAAAATCGACTACGGATGCATTGTGTACTCATCCGCTCGACGTACTGCACTCAATAAGTTAAACACTATCCAAAACCTAGGACTGCGGTACTGCCTTGGAGCATTCCGTACAACGAGAGCAGCTAGCCTTTGCGCTGAAGCAGCCGTCGAGCCATTAACTCTAAGGAGAAAAAGACTCATACTCTCATACGAAGTCAGTACATCTGCTACGCCACATCATCGGAATTTCTCTCTGTTAAGTACGTATGATGAAACCTATAATAGAAGGCCTACTATCACAAGACCCCTCAGTGTGAGAATTTGTGAAATATCTCGAGAGCTAAATTTGACTAAAATGCCAGTATATCCACTGAAAAATGAAGCCCCACCTTGGCAGATCCCATCTGCACAAGTTAACACGGAGCTAACTAAATTTCACAAAAAGGAAACACCAACAGTACAACTGAGGTCTCATTTTCAAGGTATCCTGGAACAGTACACATGTGCCGAAACCATCTACACAGACGGTTCGAAAACTGCCCTCAGGAGTTGGTTGCTCGATTATCATAAACGGGGTGGCCCATTTATGGACTCTCCCACCAATGACATCGATTTTCACAGCCGAACAGTATGCAATTTTACAGGCGCTTAAATACTGCCAGATAGAGTCAAAAAGCAACCTTACTCTTATAGTCAGCGATTCTTTGAGCACCCTACACGCTATGTCAAATCGCTATTCCCGTGATCCGTTAATCTTAGCATGCCTTCAGACATTAAAGGTGTTGATGGATGGCGACAAGAGGGTAGTCTTTATATGGGTACCAGGACACGTAGGTATACTAGGAAATGAACTGGCAGATCAATCTGCAAGGCAGGCTGCTGCCGCAACTGGAATTGACTGTAAAATAGTGAAAGCACCAGACTTGAAAATGAAAATTAGACAATGCATAACAGAAGCATGGCAAAGACAGTGGAACAATGAACTTACTCAGCTAAGAACAATAAAACCTGATGTAACAAAATGGACACCTAACGTCAAGTTGAGTAGAGAAGAAGCCGTCCGGATACATAGACTGCGTTTGGGCCACACAGCATTGACACATTCCTACTTACTCTCTGGCCAAGGCCATCCAAATTGTCCGTCATGCGAGGCACGATTAACTGCAATGCATATTATGATAGAATGTCCAGCGTTAAGCAACCTTAGAAACAGTTTTGGTCTGTCAAGAGATTTCGCAGAAAATCTGAAAAAGCCTGATCTAATAAAAAACACGATATCGTTTCTGAAATGCACGGGCTTTTACTGGAAACTCTAATTATACTCAACCAAAATTGAATCACATAACGACACGCAGCTAATGACCCAGTAGTCGATGCTGCATAATCGCAAGAACTACTACTAAAATAAAACCATTTAAACTGGGTGTTCGGATTTATATGTCACTTAGTATATTTAGGAATTCTTTTAGACCAACATTTAAGATGGGACATTCATACATACAAAATAAAATTTCTCACAGGCATATTGACAGAAAATTGTATGCGTACTATATATCATGGCTTAATTGAGCCGCACCTAAGGTAAGGTATATTAGCATGGGGTACAGCATGTCCAGTGTACTTAAACGACATATGTAGAAATTTTACAGAGAACTGTTTCAAAAATTATGTTCGGAAAACCAAAATTATATTCAACAAATGATTTATATAGCGAAACAAAATTATTTGATATCAAGCAACTTTATTTTTACATATTACCAGCCATTATCACAAAGTTGTCAGTGATTGCGATAAAATCATACATTGCCATAATACACGATATAAATCACGAGCAAAAACTGTCACTAAACCTCATAAAACAATAATAAAGCTATTTGGCTTCAAAATTATAATAACACATACTCAAGGACTTAAAACCATTTCGAAATACACATAATTTTAAAAAGAAATTATGAAAATGTATACGCGCAATAGGAAGACAACACATTATTGAATTCCTATCAAAAATTCTTGCAAAATGATCATCTCTACATATACACCTCTTTGATATAAGTTTTTCTTTAAGTTTCTTTTGACTTTTTTGTTTTGATTTTGGAGCTCATTCCAACATACGACTGACTCATGTAAAGGCATTGTCGTTCTATGGATTGAAACATTTATTTACCCATTCTATGTTGCTGTTATTGTTCTTATATTATGGATTAAATAAATGTCTACTACTACTACTACTAGCCTGAAAACTACCTAGACTGCAAGATAATATTTTACTGTTTTTTTTTTGTACATAATACCCGTGTCGAGAAACATCTCAATTAAGTTTCACACTCTGTATACGTCAGTAGCAACACAGATCACATATAGATGCGACAGCTACCGTTTATCCCTTTTATCTTAGTTTCAGTGCCTATTCAATAATTTATCCTAGCGTTTACCATGGTTATCTGTAGCGCAAATAAAAAATATGTGTTTAGGCTCCCGAAGAAATCTACATTTCCATATTAATTATATGATTCATTAAATACTAAATAAACTTACCTTTGATCATTTTTTTTTTGAGAAAAACAGCACTATAATGCAACTCAGGTGTTTTTTTTTTATTTTTATTTCGGACCTAGCTTCTCAAAATTATCATGTTGACAGGGACGGAACTCTTACCAAACATACATATCCGATTTTTGACAGGCTGAGGCCTCAAGTATATACTAACCTGTTGTGGATTCCCAGTACCCACTCCCTATCATCGGAGCACAAGACATCATTTTGTAAAATCGCCCTGTATAGGGCACTGATAGCAGCTGTCCCGTAATTTCGATCCGGAAAATTTTTTAGACGAAAAGCGAGATAACCGAGGTATTTATTATGGAAACTGACCCAGGGGGGTCAGGAAATGGCGCTTCCACCATGGCAATGGAGATGGAGTCGAAGGAGCAGACCATAGAGGAGCTGAGAGCCGAATTGGAGATGGTTCGACAGGAGCTGTCAAAAAAGGACGATGATAAGAAGACCAATGAAAGATTGATGATGATCATCGAAGCCCAGCAGCGGACAATTACCGACCTAACAGTTAAATTAGACCTCCTACTGAAAACCCAGGTACCTTCCCATCTAAATATTACAAATTCTTCCCAAACACTTCCCAAAAATCCCAGTAAAGACAAAGCTGTCAATCTTAAGAGACCGTTAAATAATTCAAGCGATCTTTCCACAGACGACGATACACTCCCTGACGGTTTTACCAAGGTTAAGCCCCGTAAAACGCGACGAAACAAGACCGACACGACAGGCTTTCCTCCTCTCCCTTCACCAAAATCGCAGTCTGAAACATCTCATTCAACTGCAAGCGACTCGAATAAACAGCCTGTGCCTAATCTATCGGTTACTTCCACGCCTTCGACATCTCAGGTACCAGAAGACACGACTGCACAGCCCCCACGCAAGGTACGTGTTACCCCCATCGTTCTTCGTGATGCTTCGAGATGGCGAGGCGTAAATCACAAGTTCATTTCCTTGGGCATCAAATTCGAACGCGCGGTTGCCGTCGATGCAGGAATCAGGATAATTCCCAAGTCCGAGGATGATTACCGCAGGATTATTCGTCTCTTCAGGGAGGAAGAGGTGCCCCATCACACTTTCCCTCTACCCTCCGAGAGGAACATTCATGCTGTAATCAGAGGAGTACATGCGACACTTTCGGAAATTGAGATCAAGGAAGAGTTGCAACAGAGGGGATATTCCCCCCTGCACATAATTCGCCTGAAACGCGGTGGCGGCGTGCCCATGCCTTTGGTGGTAGTCATACTGCCCAAGATAGAAAAATCTCAGCAGCTGTTCAACGAACACGAGCTGCTAGGTTTGGCTATCCGAGTCGAAGTTCAAAAGAACTCAAGACTCATCGGGCAGTGCCACCGCTGCCAAAAATATGGGCATGCGCAATCTTACTGCACTGCACCACCTAAATGTCTAAAATGTGCCTCTGACCACATGACCCACTTATGCCCTCAAACAGAACAAGAGGAACGAAAGTGCGCGAACTGTGGAGGGGGGCATCCAGCGAATAGCCGAACTTGCAGATTTGCCCCTAAGAAAAATCTGGAAGTGATAGCGCAAAGGCGCAATGTAAGTTACGCGGATGCAGCTAGGGATGCAACCCGGGCTGCCCCCTCTGTGGGATCTTCTGCGAACACGCAAAATGTGGACCTGGCAACCGCGCTAAGGTCCTTACAGCAGATCATAGGTCCTCTGATTAGCGCAACACAGGCTTTGCAGGCGATCTTTCCTGCAAATGGCTAGGTACAATCGACGACAGCCTGCATTTATCAAAATTCTTTTTTGGAATTGTTTGGGTCTAAGGGACATTCCCAAAAGACGGGAATTTCATCAAGCTCTTGTGGACGAAAGTATAGATGTGGCCTTGCTGCAGGAAACATTACTTAATCCGGGAGATCGTCTAGCTTTCCCGAATTACGATGTTATCCGGGCTGATAGATTGACTGGACGGGGTGGCGGCTTGGCAGTGCTAGTGAAACGCGGTATTGACTACCACAGAAGCACAAACGCTGACATGCAGAGCATCGAAGCGGCTTCCGTGGTGGTCAATATGACGGGAGGTGTGCCGTTAAAAATCACATCGGTGTATGTCAGGTGTGGTAACAGGCTGCAAGAGGCGGATCTGGAAGTCCTTTTAGACTACTCGGGTCCACTTATTGTGGCAGGGGACTTCAACTGCAAACATCGAGCATGGCATTCCAGGTTGAATTCCACCAGTGGGATCCGACTGTACAACCATGTGATACGAAATGGCTACCTCATACATAGTACTGAGGAGCCGACGCACCACCCATTTAATCACCTTCAGGCACCTGATGTTCTTGATTTGGCATTATCCAAAAACTGTAGCTACAGCATCACTTCTCGAATCATGTATGACATCTCAAGCGATCATCTTCCCGTCGTTTTGGAAGTGGCTAATGAGCAGATCTTGGGGGAGGAAATCCCTCCAAGGAAACGCATTGATTGGGAGCTATACAAGTCGCTCCTCAAAGAGTTCCCCAATATACCGATCATAGATGATGAGAACGGTATAGATGCGGCTCAAGCAGAGTGGACAAGTTTTGTTCAGCAAACTCTGCAGCGTGCAGCTGTACTTCCCGTGCAGCGACACGGCAGACCTTTTCTGCCAGCAGACATTCGTCAGAAAATTTCTGATAAAAGAGCTGCAATTAAGCAAGCGAAAAGGTCTTGTCATCCTGATGACATTCGCAGAGCGACGAATCTTGTTCATGAAGTAAGAAATGCTCTTCATGAATTCCGCAATGAGCAATGGAACGACTTTCTGGCGGGGATGCTTGACTCAAGCATTCCTCTCTGGAAGGTGGCGAAGTCGCTCAAAAACGGAAAGCGTGAACAAATCCCACACATTCACGGTCCTGGAGGCATTGTCTTCAGGACAGAGGAGAAGGTTGAGGTTTTCGCCGATGCCATGGAAAGACAGTTCTCTCCCAACTATGATCTTGATAATGACCTCGACGAGGAGCAACACATCGTAAGATCTGTCAGGAGATATTTTAGGGCCAACGGCGTCAGTGACAGTCGCGCATTCGTTGGTGATTTTTCTTCATCAGAAGATTCTTCTTCAGAAGCTTCTTCAACCGAAGATTTGCTTAGCACATCAGCGGTATCTCCTGAGATCCCGCATTGCACACCAGCAGAGATTCAAGGTCATATTAAAGACCTTAAAGTGCGTAAAGCACCTGGGGAGGATCAAATCACTAATAAGGCGCTGAAGCTGCTTTCGCGGAAGTCCTCAACTTATCTCGTGGCAATAGTCAATGCCATGCTCAGGATCCAGTACTTCCCATCCGCGTGGAAGACCGCTGAAGTTATAATGATTCCAAAGAAGGTGGGTTCGATATTTCCCCAGGATTATCGTCCAATTAGCCTGCTGTCAGCTGCGTCTAAGCTCGCTGAAAAGGTGATTCTACGTCACCTTGAGAATTTCTCGTCAGATCACCATGTGATTCCTGACGTGCAATTCGGTTTTCGGTCTGAACATAGCACGGAGCTACAGGCGGTTAGGCTGGTGGAACGTGTAACCAGAGGATTCACCCTTAACGAAAGTACTGGCATCTTGCTTTTGGATGTCTCAAAAGCATTTGACAAGGTGTGGCACGCGGGCCTCTTGTATAAACTAATCCAAAAGGGCTTCCCTTTTTGGCTTCTAAAACTACTGAAATCCTTCCTTGAAGGTAGGAAATTTCGGATCAAAATTGACAATGTGCTGTCGACAACACGGCTGATTACAGCCGGCGTCCCTCAGGGTTCGGTCCTTGGACCTATCCTTTACTCACTGTACATCCATGAGGTCCCTAGTCCCAGCAACTGTGAAGTCTATCTCTATGCTGACGATATTGCATTGGTGGCTCAGTCGTGGTCTGGTGACCTAGTCCATGACAGGCTGCAAAGTGCGGTGGAAGAAGTATTAGATTGGGCGGATCGGTGGCTAATTAAAATAAACCATTCGAAAACGCAGGCAATCTACTGTACAAAAAGACGTCGCGGCGTTCCGTCTGAAGTTTCAATGAATGGACTTCGTATACCATGGGAATCCTCCGCTAAGTATCTCGGTGTCTTTCTGGACAAAGGGATGACTTGGCGGAACCATATGGAAGCGCTAAAAACTAAATTCCAAATTACGTTTCGGCAGCTTTACCCATTATTATGTAAACGGTCAAAATTAAGTTTGATTAACAAGATTCGACTCTATAAGGTGGTCATAAGACCAGCAATGACATACGCATGTGCGGCTTGGTGTTTTATTGCTAAAACACACATGCGAAGTCTGCAGGTTCTGCAAAGCAGGACGTTGCGCACTATTGCTGATGCCCCATGGTATGTCTCTAACGAAACTCTACATAGAGACCTCGATGTCCCTTACCTAAAGGACTACATTAAGCAACAGGCGCAGCGGCGCTATAGCCTAGCGGAATCGCACAGCAACCCTCTGTTGCGTGATTCAGTGGACTACACAGTCGAGCAAGTTCGCAAGCACAAAAGGCCGCGGCTTGCACTGTAATCAAAATTAACTCGTGAACTTAGAACAACCAAAATTGGAGCATTTTTACACAATCTTTAGAAAAAATCAAATATTTTTAGACCATATCAAAATCTGTGAAGCGATTTTAACAATGCCTAAACGCTGCATATCCTAAAAGATTCTCTTCTTCCCCTTTGCTCTCGTTCTTCCTTCTCTCCTTTCCTTCCCTTTTTTTCCTTAAAATTGTCTGGTTTTTGGGTTACCAGACCTGACAGACTTACAAACCGACACTGTGACTCAAGAGCTAAGGTCCCACGGACCGCTCTGACAACCAACGATGACTTGACTGACATCATTTTGTACGAAAACTAAATAATTCCAATAAAGGTCAGTCAAGACGTGCACAACATAAACTTCTGTTATTTTGTCATATGTTTACGATAAAATCTTGGCCTGAATCCAACCAAAGACGTCATGCCACATCCACTATAGATTCCCTATCAATCGATGATGCACTTCCACCATTAGTTCTACGATTGAATTCACATGCAATTGTAATTATCCTTGCGGATATGGCACCTACTTGAATGCAGTCATTAAGACATAAATTCAGATATGGACGGAAACGTCCACCTTAATGATGTACGAGCCCCTTCCCACTTCAGTTGGCCCACTTCAAGATTTGTACCAAAGTATGCCTTTATAAACTAAACATGAAACTATTTACTTCTAAAACAATTTATTTTCTCAAAAACATTTTAAATACACTCTAGTCGTAAAAAATATATATTTGAAATCACTTAGACCTGTAACTAATAGAACATCTGAACAAATAAACAATGTGCGAATAAATGCGCGAAGTTAAAAAAGCAACAATTGAAAGATTACCATTGGGTAACATCACCGTTATTTTTTATTACGGCTGAAATTCTTTGGGGCATAGTGTTAACTAAGTTTTTGCAAAAATTTGGTGTAAAACAATCCCATATTTCTTGAAGCTTTTGTCTTAGCTCGGTGATTGTACGAGCAGGATGTTGTCGTAGAACTTTTTCCATCTCGTGCCACAAAGTTTCAATAGGTGACAGATCTGGACTGCTAGAAACCCATTTCAAAAGTGGTACATTATTTTCTTCCATCCATTTTATAGCCTTTTTTGAGGTATGACACGCTGCACCATCTTGCTGAAAGAAAGACAAAATCTTGGCCGGATGTCGAACATTCTTCCATCACTGGTAAAAGCGCAGAGTTTGCCCGTGCTCGCTATGGCGAGGTCCTGGCGGATCTTCTGGGTCTGCCATGGTGATAAAGAAACCACTCGAAATTAACTGGGAAGCTCGAAAATAATAATCGTGCGTAAAACGTGTGCGCGAACGCAGTAGTTGATACCAACTAAACCTAATTCTCACTCGGCGTGCGGCGATGGCGTAACTACAATGATGAATAATAACAGCTCTCTCTCTCTCTCTCACTCCTCCACTAAGTCAGCTCTTCTCGCTCGCTTCCTCGTCGAGCCGATGCCATAAAACAATCATGGCATGGGAGCACTTTGAGGACAGTAACGACTTCAAACAGGTAATACAAATTCCTTAAAAATCCAGCATCTGTGGGTGTCATTGTTGTTTCTCTGCATGTACTTCAGATAATTGAACGGTTAATACCTCAAATGAAAGCTTGTTAGATAGAGATATTATTTACATAATTTGCAAATTTCATTACTAGGAGATTTTTTACAGAAAATTGCATTTTTTATCGAATAAGTTAGAAAAAAAATAAGAAAATCATACATTTCAAAAGCGTAATTTTAAAACTTTTGTAAATTTTCAACATTTTTAATACTTATTATGAACTATTGGAATGTCCGCTATGCGACGATAACAAAAAACTCAAAATCAAACATGTATTTTTTTTGTATTCCAAATTTAACCGTCTGAAATCGGAATAAAAAATAAAAAAAATAAAATTCAAATAACTCAAAAAACGGTTAACTTCTGGATAGGACATTACAGGACAAAATCAGTTGCTTTTGACCTAATCTATTACCCCTTAACAGGAATACGTGACATTACAAGTCACCCTGTATATATATATATATAGGTGAAAAATTAAAGCTTCTGCCTTTTGTTGGGTACTTCGACAAAATTTAAGCAAAGAGGACTCTTTATACTTTTTTTAATTCTCTCTAGCTTACAATGGACTTTGCCATCATCATCAGGAGCTGCAATTACATTGATAACAGTAGCAACAATAGTGTAAAATG